TGTAAAGTTGTAATTATTTTAATTATTTTTATTTCCAAACTGATTTTAACCAGTTCTATAGTAAGAAAACATTCCAATAGACAATATGCAAAGCTTTTTGTTCAGTTTACACCAGTATTTATTACACAAAATTTAAGTAAAGCTTAACATGCCGATCTTGCCCCGGTCTCCCCTACTCTTCATTTAGCATTTATAACAGTGGCATGCCGTCCATGGAAGCTGTGTAGCTCCGAATAGAACTATATTTTCTAAAATATAAATACATATCGTGCGATTATTTTCATATTTTAACGTACTTTGAATTACTTAAAATTAATATTTTATTATGATCGCATTGTGTATCTTATTACAAATTTCTATACTAAATGTGAAAAACAATGATAAGATCGCTATTGTATATTCGAATATACATTCGTATATGCATATTTCCAATGGAAGCGCTGTATTGTCGAATACGGGACAGCGAAAATATTTGAATCGTGTAAAGCAGCCAGATTATAGCCTACGTATTTATAAGGCACCAACCTCACACGGTTTAACTGGTGGATGTTACACACCAAAATATCGTATAACGCTTCCAATGATTCTATCCAAGGTCGCACAGCTTCCCTATCATCAAATGTCACCGCACGCCACTGATTTATAATAATATATTTGGATTTATAAGCTTCATTTGAGTTTTCAACATTGATGCTCTCAAAAATATGTTTACAACTAAAAACTTTATTGTTACTTTTTTCAAAAAATTAACGATGAATTTAAAAGCTTTACTAAGAAAAGCTGCATATATTGTCAAATATAATCTAAAACTAACATAAATCAGACTAGTTATATAAGAGATATTTAAATCTAAGTTTGTTCAAATATAGTAAAGATTTTCGTAATAATCGTTTTCTATCACAATAAACTGATAAGATGTAAATTTTAATTGCAATGAAAGTTAAGAAACTTTGTTAAAATTAATTTTTAAACAATTCAAATGAATATAAACTTAACAATTTCACAATATTTTATTAAGATGTTTCAAAAATTATATAAATATAAAAATAAGCATAACTAAATTCTGGGGAATTTCATTTTGTAAAATAAAACAATTGTAATAACATAAAATAATAATTACCAACACTAATGTTGTTATTAAATTAGGCAACATTGTCATGGGAAATCGAAGGAGATTGAAGAGCGAAATAGAAACAAATGCTTTGTTTGCATCCAAAATATTTTTTTCGTCTATCAAGACGTACGTGGCAAACGTTGCTAAGGCCACCTTTTAATAAAAATACAAAATATAGAAAATTTAATTTAATTTAATTCTAATTACTTTTTTATTACTTTATTTCTTCCGAAAAACCTACCTCCTATTGGCTGTCTGCTCTTCCTTAACCTTGAGAACAGTGCTAGATAGATGAGAGTCAAGACAAAATATGGAAAGCTAGGAGACTCCGATTAACGATATAGAAATTAGCCAGTCTTGACCGGAAATCATGTAATTCCAATTCAAAAATTTTCCCTGAACGGAGCTACACAGATGGCCGGCATCACTGTTATCAGGAAAAGTGTGATTACAGGGGCAAGACACTATTAATTTGAGGTACAGAGCATATATTTTAAATTAAATTACTTAATAAGATTAAAAATTGCAGCCCGGCATTATGATATTTTTGATAGTTTAGAAGATAATTTGTTTTTTTCTGGCGAAATTTAAAAAAGTTAGTACTGTTTTCTAAATATTTACGTTATTTTTTTATTCATACACATGTACTAAAACAAAGAGTAACTAAATTAAAAAGTAAAATAGTTCCGGAATTATAAATCAACTATAATAATATACTCTTCATTTAGCATTTATAACAGTGGCATGCCGTCCATGGAAGCTGTGTAGCTCCGAATAGAACTATATTTTCTAAAATATAAATACATATCGTGCGATTATTTTCATATTTTAACGTACTTTGAATTACTTAAAATTAATATTTTATTATGATCGCATTGTGTATCTTATTACAAATTTCTATACTAAATGTGAAAAACAATGATAAGATCGCTATTGTATATTCGAATATACATTCGTATATGCATATTTCCAATGGAAGCGCTGTATTGTCGAATACGGGACAGCGAAAATATTTGAATCGTGTAAAGCAGCCAGATTATAGCCTACGTATTTATAAGGCACCAACCTCACACGGTTTAACTGGTGGATGTTACACACCAAAATATCGTATAACGCTTCCAATGATTCTATCCAAGGTCGGCACAGCTTATCTATCATCAAATGTCACCGACCGAAACTGATTTATAATAATATATTTGGATTTATAAGCTTCATTTGAGTTTTCAAAATTAATGCTCTCAAAAATATGTTTACAACTAAAAACTTTATTGTTACTTTTTTCAAAAAATTAACGATGAATTTAAAAGCTTTACTAAGAAAAGCTGCATATTTTGTCAAATATAATCTAAGAGTAACATAAATCAGACTAGTTATATAAGAGATATTTAAATCTAAGTTTGTTCAAATATAGTAAAGATTTTCGTAATAATCGTTTTCTAATACAATAAACTGATAAGATGTAAATTTTAATTGCAATAAAAGTTAAGAAACTTTTGTTAAAATTAATTTTTAAACAATTCAAATGAATATAAACTTAACAATTTCACAATATTTTATTAAGATGTTTCAAAAATTATATAAATATAAAAATAAGCATAACTAAATTCTGGGGAATTTCATTTTGTAAAATAAAACAATTGTAATAACATAAAATAATAATTACCAACACTAATGTTGTTATTAAATTAGGCAACATTGTCATGGGAAATCGAAGGAGATTGAAGAGCGAAATAGAAACAAATGCTTTGTTTGCATCCAAAATATTTTTTTCGTCTATCAAGACGTACGTGGCAAACGTTGCTAAGGCCACCTTTTAATAAAAATACAAAATATAGAAAATTTAATTTAATTTAATTCTAATAACTTTTTTATTTTTTATTACTTTGTTTCTTCCGAAAAACCTACCATTATGGGAGCAGACAACCAACAGAAAGTAGATGCCAAATTTAAATAAGCAATTATTTTTAACTGATCGATTTCTTTGTCTCTTATCTTTAATATAATTTTCCGAAATGGTTCTTCCCAAGCGTACAGTTTTAAAACTTTCATGCCATTAAGAATTTCATTCATGAGTTTCACTCTGTTATCTTTATTCTTCATTTGCTGCACCTAAAATCATAAAAGTTTAAATTATATAATGAATTTTGGATTAACGCAGGTAAAATTACTAACTGCAAAAATTGCAGAAATTTTCTATTATCTGTTAAATTGAGATAAAAGATCTATAATAAATGTACTTTTAAATTTTTATAGAAACCTTTTGTTATATAACAAATTCATATGATAAAATATTAAGAATAGTACAGTATTGTAAAAATTTGTTTATAGTTATGCACCTAGTAGTGAAGAAACAAACAAATTGTAAAAATTGACATTGTCTATCAATAGATAAATTGATAATTAGTCATACAAGGTTAGTAAAGAATTTAGCAGACAGACATATTTTTTTTGACAAGGCTACGAAAAACTTGTGCAAACAAATGTTCAACATAACGTTTCTCAATCTTGTAGATAAATAGTTAAATTGATAGCCACCCGTCCATTGTTCTACATAATAAAATTCTGTTTATTTAAACAGATGAAACAAAAACAATGATTAAATAAAGTCACTTAATGCTAGGCTCTGTTAACCATGTGTTCATAATTAAACGCTTTTGGTATCCATCTCGCAGAAAGTTTAATCAGTCTTAAATGATCGCAGATAATTGATTGAGTTGAGCCATAACACATGCCTGTCTTTATAGTTATCTCATGTAAGGACACTCGATGATCTGCAATTATCAACTGAACTAATTCATCACTAACTTTTCACGATCTAGTGGTTTAGCTCTCATTTTTGTGTTCAATAGCTTGAGACTAAATTATTTATCTTCAAAGAGAATAAATAAAAATTATTCAGTTTTATCAAGCTTTCGATAATTCTAAAAAAGTTTTTATGCCCTACTTTGCAAATAATAACGTATACTTTTTAGAAATCAGAGTTTCTGTTAAAAATTTTCAAACTATTAAAATACAACTTTAATTATTTTTGTCTTATATATTTTGTTAGTTAATAAGCTTATTTTTCATGGATCTGTGAAATGTATTTGCTATTTTATAGAATAATTGGAAAAATGTGAAACAAAATGAATTCAAACAGTTGATATGAGTATGCTTACATTCAACCCCATGTAAAAAGTACAAAGTGGCTTATTTCTAGATGTAAACAATTAGAAACGAGACTATTGCAAGGTTTTAATTAATAAAAATTATTGATTTGTAGAAAGAAACTGTTTGGATTTTTTACATAAGTAAATTTTAAGTTTAAACAATTAAAATTGTCTAAAAATAATTATATAAATTTATATTAAAATTTATTTATTTCACTTTTGATATATTCAATAAGAAAATAGGTATTAAACGTTAATAATCAGGATTATAGTAATGATAACTTTTATTAAAAACTTACCTGCAGTTCCTTTATTTTATTGGCAATTATTCCGTTTAATGGAAGCATTAAAATCATCACTGCAATTCCAGCTAGAACAGAAGGACCTAATAAATTCCATAAAAAGTATACAGCCAAGATAATCTGAAGTGGTGCCGACCATAGAAGATTTAAATAAGTCATGAGATCCATGAATCTTTGAGAATCGACCGACATTAAATTAACAATTTCTCCAACTGTTGACTCACTTCGTGCACTACTGGAAAGCTGAAGAGACTGAAAAAAAATTTTTTAAATTATATAGTTTCACTTCCTTATTATTATTTTGTTGACATATTCTTGTCCTTATTAGTTGACACTAATGCCTATTACTAAGCCGATACAAGATCGGGGCTTAGCCATCACTATGTTGGCCGAAATTTAAGTGGACTGCCAATTTTGGAATTATTATTTTTTTAAGAAAATTAGGACCCGAATATAAGTCGACCATTTATTATTTTTATTTATATAGTCTATGCATTAGATATCAATAAGCAACAAATTATTGTTGGTTATTTTTTATCGACATCAATAAAAAAGTTAGAGCAAAATCAAGACAATATCCCATGTGCCATCAGTAGGCAGCCCGGCTTATCCACCACACCAGGAAAAATAGGCCTCCTCACAACTATTATTCTGGTAAATGTACTTGCATTTTATGATTATAAATATAAAAAATAAAAATGAAACTTTGTTTTTCGTTTCCTCTTGTACTCTGTTTTCGTAACTGTCTAAAACATTGTAAACCTATTTTATAAAATCTAAGACATATAGTCATATCGAATGCATAAATTTATAATTACAAATTAAAATGTACACTTTACAAAAAAATAAATTTTGTAATAAATTTATAGAAATATTTTCCCGCAAGTTTTGACCATTTCTCGAATTAACTCGAAACTAACACTTACATCATACAGACTTCACACAAACATTAAGCAATCGTGGGCTCGAAAGGCACTCCATGACAGGCATCCTTATGGACTAGCCCAGGATTTTGTTGACAAAACTGCGTCAAACAGCTGGTTAGATCGGGGATGCCTCTTTGGGGAAACGGAAGGATTCATGATTGTCATACAGAATCAGGTCATAAATACTAAAAACTACAGAAAACACATACTCAAAGATACAACACTCACAAATGAGACATCCAGAAAATGTCACATCATGCAAGAAACTTTACTTCTGGTTGCAAGCTCTTGGCACAGACAGATTACTTACATAGACACAATCAAGTAGCAAATATAATACACCAAGAGCTTGCAAAGAAACACAAATTGGCAGACATCCACGAACCATACTACAAGTATATTCCACAGACAGTATTGGAAAATAACACGCACAAAATGTATTACGACAGAGCCATAATCACAGATAAAACAATTTACCACAACAGACCAGACATCACACTCATTGACAAACACAATAAAATCACATACATTATAGACATAGCCATTCCAAACACTCACAATGTACAAAACACATGCACTGAAAAAATTAGCAAGTACACAGAACTCGCCCAGGAAATAAGGCATCTGTGGAGGATGGATAGGGTGCTTATTGTACCTGTCGTTCTCTCCTGTACAGGTGTGATACCACACACACTACACAAAAGCCTGGGAACATTACAATTGAGTAGAAATACATACATCACACTACAGAAGGCCACTATATTAAATACATGCCACATTTTTAGGAAGTTCCTGAATACAGAAACACGCACACACTGACACACTTATTTAATTTTATTTTGTTTTGGTTGCTATGTCTTGACTCTGGTCCGGCATAGCACACAGCCACCGGTGTCAACCGAGTATAACCCACTAATCAAAATAATAATAATAATAATCATAATAATCAGCGCAGAGCCCAAACGGTTAGGAGTTGAAAACTGAAATTTGGTACACAGGGTACGTCACGAGAACGCACGCTAAGAAGAGATTTTTCGAAATTCCTCCCCACGGGGGTGAGAGAGAGAGGATTAAGGATTAACACTTCCATCAACAATGGAAGTGTCAACAATGGAAGAGTTAAGAGAAATGCAAGATTTACAGGCACGGATGCGGTTTTTTGCGTTTTTGATTGCGTTTTAATTGGGTATGACACGAGAATATACACTAAGAAGGGATTTTTCGAAATTCCATCAGCGGAGGTGAGGTTGTTAACACTTATCCCGCGGGGAAGTGTGAACTATGGAAGTGTTAAGAGAAAGCGATGGGCAAGTTTTACAGACGCAGATGCAGATTTTTCGTTTTTGCGGAAAATCGAGCATATTTTTAGACCCATCTAAAAATTCTCTAATTAGTCTGGAAACAGGGGGACCTAATTCTTTCATCCTTTGAAAACGGGTAAGATTGACTATAACGTAATAATCTTAATCTTCGCTATCGTTACTTTTGCCCGAGCAATGCCGGGCCTACCTGCTAGTAATAATATACGTTTAGTTCAACACGGGCAGCCATCTTCCAAATCGTACGACGAGACAAAAACAATGACGTCACTAGTAGAAGTTAGCGTAGATAAAAGAAGCTGACTGAACTAGGTAGAATTCTAGCGGTGGGAGGCAATGTTCCCTCTAAGCTGCGCGGCCGCGCACTGCTCAAATTGTTGCCGCGCACGAGAATTTACGTGCCGCGCAGGCGAGCATGCACACCAATTTGAATTGTTGTTTACTTATTTCTCACTCTGTCTGCAACATGATTATTGCTGCATATATTTCGATTAAATACATTAAATCATTGACAAAAGATAATATTTCGTATAAAAGTATGTTCTTCCTTTAATTTCAATT